TTTGACAGTTGCTTTGGGCTCGAGTATAAATACCCTGACAGTTGCAGGGACGTTTTGAATCGTTTGTCATCTCGCAATAAATCTGATTCCATGGCTCCTGCGTCTATCCCTCACACAACATATACAACAGGCACACAGTCTGAAAGTGTGCAAAGGCCTCTTAGCCATCACATGCTTTTTCTAGCAGGAGTGGATTGCCTCCCACTATATGTGCTTATGTAAGGAATTGGAGACATTTGTAATATCTGAGAAGTATAATTGGTTACAGCATCCTATTGAAGGCACGCTAAGTGCCACTTTACTTTTTTTTGTTACCCACAATGATTTTATTATTGCTGTCATTTGCACTGGAGAATCTGTATGCATATGGGTTACGTAGTTTAAAAAGTAAGGATGCCAGTTTTTGTTTTTCCTTTCGCGTGGTACTAGCTCATGTAAGCAACCCCAAGCAATCCAAGTGAAGGGATATTCCCTACAAAAAAATACAAGAAATTTCATTTATCTACAATAATTGAATTGGGTTCCTAACACTTCCAAATAATGCGTTCCCATAAACATCTATTTAGCTTTTATGCTCATATGTTTAAAAATGTCTATATTGCCTTTATCCATAAGGAAATCTTGGAAAGTACATACAGTAGCTTTGTATACAGAATGAAAGATATATCGCCATAGCTGGGGAAGATGGGGAGTGCAACTCAACATTTCTGAAAGCAATTACGTTAGAGACAGCAATTGTTTAGTCACTTATTATCACCAAAGACTTGACTCCATCCTCATGTGGGTTTTTTGTGAAAAAGTGACAATTTTGAGGGTTCTTTTTTCTTTTGCTATTCTTAGGGGCCCCCAGGTACTCGTGGAGACCCAGGCCCTCCAGGCCCTCAAGGGCCACCAGGACCACAAGGAATAAATGGGCTTTCCATTCCAGGAGATCCTGTAAGTAAGAATGCTGTTTGGCCAGGATAAGAGGCAAAGTGTAATGTAATCAATGTTTTCTGATAGCAGTTTGACATACTTTTCCCCAATATATTCAGATGTATGCTAAGTAAGTCAAAGTGTATGAATGCACCAAGCAGATTTCTAAACACTGCAGGGTTTTTAGATTGTGCATAAACATAGAGACATGTTGTGGTGCTTATTTGGGTTTGCATTTGATCTGCTTCATTGCTTAGAATATGTTCGCCTTTTCAGGGAAATGCAAGAAGGTTAGGTATTGCTTTAATGTTTTATTGGGTGGAAATGTTGTGTAATAAACTATCATGCCTAGTTTTCATGGTGTGAACGAAAGAAAAGCCACACACTACAGGCACAAGTGAACTCTTGTTTTCTCTGATGGCTTTTGAGGCTTAAAGATAGCTTGTCTGTTAAATAGACCCATAATTTCATTGTGTAGGAAATAAACAAAGCCTGTTCTTTTTTTCACTCTAGGGACGTCAAGGGCCAAAGGGTAACCCTGGAGAACCTGGACTTCCAGGGCGATCAGTAAGTTCATGGCTGTTTATTTTCCATTCTTCCAAAGGACACTTTGCTTAGTAATGGAAATTCTGATCCCAGTCTTGATCCTGTCGTCAGGCTTGGAATGTGCTCTTTTGCACTGCGCAATGGCCTGCCACATTCAATGCTTTGGGAAAATGGGAGGGGGGGATTATATGGAGCATGGGAGATATATAACATTCCTTTCTCAGAGAGTCAAGGACATCTTGCCCTGTACCTGGAGTGGTGTGACTGCAGTGGTGGGTTTCAAAAATTGTTCGAACCTACTCTGTGGATGTGGCCTCCTTTGTGGGAGTGGCTTGCCGCCCATGTGACCGGATATGAAGATGCTGACGACACTTGTCAGAACCACCTTAAATTACCTCACACACAGCACTGGCATGCATAAGAATATGATGTAAACTTGTTTTTTAAAAGGCATCTTTGGTTTGCGTTAAAACAACTTCAACACACAAAATGTTCTGATTGCACCACAAACGCAGTAGTCATCCTTCCCTTTCACAGAGGCCCTGAGTTTTATAAATAGGAGCATGATAGTGTAGAATAATCATATCCAAGGACCAGTGGTGGGTTTCAAAATTTTTTGGAACCTCTTCTGTAGGTGTGGCCTGCTTTCCGGGTCCACTGGTGGAACCTCTTCTAACTGGTTCGGTAGATTTGACGAACCAGTTCTACCGAATAGGTGCGAACTGGTAGGAACCCACCTCTGTGTGACTGGGAGGCATCTTCAGTTGAGACGGTGCCTGATTGGGCCATGTGATGGACATGTGGGTGCTGGACAGAGACTTGAACTTTCATTTGGGTGGGGAAAACCTGGAAACTTTCAGATTCGGGTTTTCCCAAATGTGCTAATATGACATCTCTAATAAAATGGAACTTTGAGGAATCTCAAGCCTCGGAGTCTTCTTTCATTAAGGGTATTACTTGGAACCCAGACATTAACCCAAATCTGAAAGTTTCCAGGTTTTCCCCATCCAAACAAAAGTTCAAGTCCCTGCCCAGTACCCACATGTCCATCAGATGGTCCATCCATCCTGACACGATCCTGACACTGTAAGTAGCTATTAGTTAAGAGTGAGCTATGAATAAGACTTGTAACAGGTCGATAATAAGATATATTTACCTTTAAAAGAATTAACAATACAAATAACTATAAACAAGCAGAATGTAGGTAAAATGGAATTCTGTACAGCGTGCTGAAATTATAAATCAAAATCTACTTGTTTTGGTCCATTTCTTTTGCCTGGGGTCAAAATTGGTATCACTGCATCCAAAGAGCTAGTACAGTACAAGGAACTGTAGGTTAAAATAAAGTGGCGATATATGTTAAAATCGTGTTGCATCATTCCAATAGCAATAGCAGTTAGACTTATATACTGCTTCATAGGGCTTTCAGCCCTCTCTAAGCGGTTTACAGAGTCAGCATATTTCCCCCATAGTCTGGGTCCTCATTTTACCCACCTCGGAAGGATGGAAGGCTGAGTCAACCTTGAGCCGGTGAGATTAGAACCGCTGAACTGCAGATAACAGTCAGCTGAAGTGGCCTGCAGTACAGCACTCTAACCACTGCGCCACCTCGGCTCCTTATATTCCAAAACCCTGTCTAATTAATGTGTTCTTTTTCACCTAGGGATCACCCGGCTTAAGTGGCCCTCCTGGTGCAATGGGACCTCCAGGCGACAGAGTGAGTAGTTCTGGTTTATCCTGGACAGTGGAAACTCTACAAAGGCTTTGAACAACATTAGAACATTTATAATTCTATATATCTTCATTTCGTTCAGTTTCCTTGAACCTTGAGAGGGGTGAAGCAAGTGGGTTTTAAATATACAACCTTTTTATGTTACTTGTTCTTTAGCTCAGATTTATTTGGTTTGATAGGGATCGGTGGACATTGTAGTCCAACACATACAGAGGACACCAAGTTTGAGGAAAGTTAATAACTGATGGAATGATGAAGAAACTATAGGCTTTGTACAGCTGCGATAGAAATCAGGGAGGGACTGCATTTAGCAACGAAACATACAGAAGCAAAGGCTTTGGATAAGAGGAAATTAAGCAATAATCCTAACATAATTCTTTGTTCTGGTGGAGAAGTAGATAATGTATGCCAGCATTAAATTTTCCTAACTAGTATTCAGCATAAATGCTAAATTTTCTAAGACCTTTGGTACGTAGTATATAGTGTATACTGTATATTGTAGCTATAGTTACTGGTCCGTTGTAACAGGGGATATTTAGACATTGTGGGTTTGAATGTTTTTGATACTTTTTATGGAGTGGTTGGCCCAAAAGCTTTTCTGCATAAATATATTGTCCCTGAGAGCAAGGAAACAAACAAAACACACACACACACACCCAATTCATAATATTCATTGTTCTCCAAACAGGGTTTTACGGGAAAAGATGGCCAATCAGGACCAAGAGGTCCCCCAGGACCAGTGGTTAGTGTTGACTTCATTGTTGGAATGATAATGTAATAGTGGAACTATGATGGATGGTGCTGGTGGGAGCTGTGTCTGTTTTGTGTCAGACAGTGACTGTCATCATTTGCAGGAACACATGGTATCAAAGCAAATTAAATTACAGCTGGCATGTTAATTCAGTGCTCTGAGTGTGGATGCTGAAATATAGCAAAAATGGCTCCAGTCATTGGTTAGAACAGTGTTTCTCAAGCTTAGCAGCTCAAAGGTATGTGGACTTTGACTCCCAGAATTCCTCAGCCAGCATGCTGGCTGGGGAATTCTGGGAATTGAAGTCAACACATCTTAAAACTTGAGAAACACTGGGTTAGAAGAATGTGAAGATTTGCAGTATGAAAGGCATATTAAAGAAAAGCCTTAAGAAAAAGGGGACTTACAGGAGAGCAAAGTGAACACTACATGCAGTGATATCAACCGCTGACCCGCTGGAAGTAGGAGAAGAGGCAAAATTGAGTTTTTGGAGCTCTGAAGATGTGCTCTCCACATTGCAGTATTAGTTGCAGGTCCAATTTACTTGATCCAATCCTGTTGACTGCATAATACATTTACGTCTTGCCACATGAAATAAAATGTACAATCTCATTTTCCCTTTGCTCTTCTGTCATCTTCCTATAAATATCAAATTTGTAATAAATTGTATTGTCAAAAGCTAAAACTTGATCATTCTACTCTGATCAAGGTTTTTTTTTTTACAAGAAACTGGTTGCTCTTTTTTTAGATCATGCTTTTATTGCTAGAAATAAAACAAAATATTAATAAAATATTACTCTGATATCAGTACAATTGAGCGGGTTCAGAAGTACTTCACGAGAAAAGTCTTGCACTCTTCTGTACACAATAGAATTCCTTACTCTACTAGGCTGTAAGTTCTCGGTTTGGATAACGTAGAACTGCGTTGCTTGTGATCAGACCTAGATATTGCATACAAATATATACATAGTAATGTTTTACCTGTAAATGACTCTTTCTGTTTTAATAGTAATAATATTCACACGAACAGCCCTTTAAACTCAATATAAATCATTCTAAACTTGACTGTAAACAATATGATTTCTGTAAGAGAGTTGTCAAAAGTCTGGAATGCCCTACCTGATCCAGTTTTGACAGTTTCATTCACAAATTGATTTCCATGGACCTTACTTCATACTTATGTGGTCAGTAGAGGGGGCATGCATAAGTGCACTAATGTGCCTATTGTCCCTGTCGTCCGTATTTTTATTCTCTTGTCCTCGTTTTTGTTTGACAAATTCCAATAAATAAAGAAAGGAATACATAAATAAAAAGACCAAGATTAAATCTTTAATAATGTAACTGAAGCATCATTCTAATGGGCTACTTGGAGAAAGGGCATCTCAGTTTCTCCTCCATTAAATATGAAAGTATGGTATTGAGGCAATTGACATAATTAGCATAATGACCTCACTATGCAAACAATATAAATTGTAGATGCAGGAAAATGAAGTAAAATGAATGTAAATGGAACTGCCTTATCCAGGTGACCCCAGGTGGATAAGGCAGTTAACATTTATCTTAATTTTGCTTGATTTATTGCATTTACCTGTCCATTATTTCAGGGAAGTGGTCGGACAGAAATTCGGTCTGCTCAGTTTTCTCCCAGTATTTGCTGAATTTCTGAGTATATGTTTCATTTCAGATATATACATTGAACAAACACATAAACAAATTTCCTCAAGACTATTATTTCCCCTTTCTATATATCTTTTCAATCCACTCGTTCACAGGGTGCCCCAGGAGTGCCTGGAGTTGCTGGTCCATCTGGGAAACCAGGCGATCGTGGTTCAGCGGTAAGAGAATCCATCACTGGCATTTATTGTCTCTTTTGTGAAAAGTCGTTTTACTTTACCAATAGGAAATGGTATAATGGCTATCATTGATGGCACGTCCCTTTTTATCATTCATGCTTTTCCCAGCATGAAAGTCAGGTCTGGAAATTGTGGTTGTAGGAGTTTTCTCCCCCCCCCCCATTTTAAAAAAGTACTCCAATTGAACATGCCAAGGTTTATATTTCTCCACTACATAAACATCCCAGAGGTAAATTACTTAGTGGGATTACTATTTGCTATTTTTAAAATTCAGTCAAGTGTGATATACTGCCTGTGGTGGTTTTTTTAATGTAGCACTTTGAGAACATTTAAGCTTGAAAATACTTGAATGAAGGTTCCCAATCTTCTGTGGATAGCGTCAAATTTGAAACTGTCTTAGGGATTAAGTGGGATCAGAAGTTGGCCTTAATAGCAATCGATGGAGCCCCTTTGACAGATGCAACCAAGAATGTGATGGGCAAACATTTGGCATCAGATGTCTACGGAAATTTTCAGTCATCCAGGTCTAGTGCCCAAAGGTGCTTTTTCCAAAGGCACCTGGACTTTCTTTTTTTCCCTTTGGAAGATGTTTCACGTCAGTTCAGAATGGAAGAATCTTCTTGGATGAGAAATGAAACATCTTCAAGGAAAAACAAAGTAAGTCCAGCTGCCTTTTGAAAAAAGCATGAAATATTTGAGATATTTGGCATCAGGAAATGCAACAACATCCATCTGTTTATCTTCGTTGTTATCAGTATTCTTGAAGACGCATAGATTGTTCTGATGAAGAAGGCAAAGTCTGATTCTGCTAACCACATACCATAAACCACATACCATGGTGTTGGCTTTTGTATTATTTTGCCTCTTTGTTGAAAGACTTTGCAAACCCATGGCTGTAAGAACTCTGATCATAAGACTATTTAGTCATATCTGATGGTGCAGTGTTCTAACCACTGTAGCAAACTCTGCCCACAGCCTGGAGTTCAGTCTTGATGAGGCTCAAGGTTGATTCAG